TGCTAACCCATTTTAATCTAGTTTAGACATTTTTTTTGCTACGTTTTAATATTGCTAATTACACTTACACTACAGGCATGGATCAGCATTACCAGTGATGACTGCACATCTTTAGTATAAGTGCAAGAAAGGAGGAAATAATTTGAGTGTAAAAAGCTTCTATGACCTTTTCACGTGAGAAATTTCTTGTAAGAATTTTCACATGAGAATTTTCTTGATAAGCCACAGCAGACAAATCTAGCTTTATGAGATTGGGCAGAGATAAGACAGTAAATCCTTGATAATCCTAGGTATTGCTGTCTCACTAAGTGCTAAAACAACAAACAACCAACAACAAAACCTCTATGAGGTAGGTAAGAGGGAATTTAAAAATATTTAACAACCAGTAGAAAGGGGACTGACCAATCAGGATAGCAGCACTGGAGTATAATCCCAGAAGCCTCATTACTTGTTGAAGCATTGACGCTTTGGTTCCTGAATTTAGGGAGGTCAAAGGATTCTGGTGTAGAATGGGACATGAGAACTGGTGGGCTTTCATAGCAGCTATTTACCAATGTATGAAACTGTTTCACTGTTGGTTAACCAGCATGGCAGTCAGTACCTCTGCGTGCTGGCTGACCATCAGTCCCAGAGGCGGGCCTTATCCTACAGATGAAGACATTGTGACTTAGACAGGTAATTTAACATGTTCAAAAATCATCCCGTTAACAGGAGACAGAGCCAGGATTTGAATCCATATCTATCTCGCTCCAAAGACTGAGATTCCCTCTGAGTGATGTGGATAAAGACATCAGATACACACCAGTAAGTCATAAAGGTTGAGCAAGAGCAGAGGAAATCTATTTCAAACTCAACTGGTTCTTTGATATTAGACTGGTACACGTTCCTACATGTAATTGGTAGTTAATAAGTTTGTTAAAATAAAATCTTTATTGCTGCACTTCTACATAGAGAGATGTTTGTAAGACATATGCAAGCCATCTTTTTAGATATGATGCAATTGTAAATAAGAGCAAGACACTATTTTTAAAAAGAAAAACACCCTCTGCAGTACTCTGTAGTATTATTTTTTTTCAGCTGAGGTAATTTAAATTGAACCAAACTAAGTGATCAAGTTTTGCTTCAACTCAAAATGAATATAAATTACTAAATCTCAAATTGTAAGGAAGATTTAAAGCAGGGGTGTGCAATCTTTTGGCTTCCCTGCGCCACCCTGGAAGAAGAATTGTCTTGGCCACACATGAAATATACTAACAATAGCCCATGAGCTTAAAAAAAATTGCAGGAAAAGATCTCCTAATGTTTTAAGAAAGTTTAAGAATTTGTGTTGGGTGTGCATAGGACAAGCTTGGTTTAAAGATTTAAGGTTTAAAATATTCATATATAGACGTGAAATTTGTGTTGAGCAGTAACATGTAGTAAGTGCTCTGTGGTGGTCGATTTCTTCCTGATGAAGTAAAAGAGATTTTGCAAAGTAATTTCAAATTGATGCTAATCAAGCTTTCTTCCTTCTTATGGGACTGATCAAGGTGAGACTGTAAACACATGCAAATATATAACCACATTCTATTTAGAAAGATAAGTTCAAGAACATTGATTTCACTAGATAAAATGTAGGTAGTGTATAAACATATATGTCCCTAGATTATGAACAGATTTTGTTCCAAATATTAATTTGTAATTCAGCATTCTAGAATTTTATATGCAAATTTCTATACATAAAAATGAAATCAGTAGTTCCTCAGTTTTACTAGTAAAATTTATTTTACCCATAATGTACTTCAACAATAGAACTAATTCTATTTTAGGTCCTATTCTCCATGTAGTATATTGTTAATAAGGGAAAATATTCTGAATTTTAAATGAATTTTCTGCAACATATTTGGTTTCAGACCTCTGGTCTTGACATAAAATGAATAAACGGAATACCCACAGATTAGAGCACATCCTCCTATATTTTCTCAGAAATAAGACAAAGGTTCATCAAGTAAGGGGCTGAAGGATGAAGCTATTTACTTAGATTTACTATGGGTTTCTAGGACAACTGAAAAACTGCAAATCTAAGGGATCCAAATTCTGACAATCAATGTGGATCATAGCACTTAGAATTTAGGAGCTGGATGGAATTTTAGATATGATTAAGTTCCGCATATCGTTCTAAACTGAACAAGCTGAATAACAACTCTTTCTCCTCCCTCTTCATTTAATTCATAAGCATGGGTTAGGGCCAAAGAATATCCACACCTTTGACTGGCCTATTTTACTTGTTAGTAAGGTACAAGGTAGCCATATAGCAAGACAGTTATAGTTGAAGGCCCTGTGACAAGCAATGCTTATCTTTCATTACAACTTTCTTTCATTAAAGCATCCATTGTTACCAGAGTCTACTCATTGTGCAAATATTTCTTGAATTTCTCTCCTTCGTGCATGATCCCAGTTGATGGGGAAATATAGAAACAAATAAAATGTGGTTTTTGCCCTCAAGAAGATTATCTTTTTGGTGAGAAGATAAAGTCAAATAACAATTCAAGAGTTTAATTAAGAAAGTAAATACATGCTTGCAAAATAAATGATTCAGATGAGCTAACACAAGCTCAGAAGAGGGAAAGAATGCTATACATTAGAATTGAGATTGACTGACGACCCGTGGAAAGGCAGGATCACTGAGGCTGGGATCTAAACTATTTGATTAAGTGTGGATGAAAATGAAACAAAAGTACAGAATGTGGGAAAAAAAGAACTGAATACCAACTGGTGATTTATTGGAAAGAGTCAATGAGAGGGAGAAGTACAGGTTTCATGTGTGAAACCTATAGTAAGCCACAATCATTTTCTAACCAGTTGAGTAGAGGCAGAAATATCCTGATATAGTCAAAATGGCCTTGGACTTGGGGACAGAATAGTTGTCAGGATACAGAGGTTCATCTCTTTTACATACCAGAAATACAATTTTGAATAAAACGATCAACTTCTCTTATCTAATGTTTCTTGAAATGTGAAACAAAAGGTTTGAATTTAGTGTCTAAAGTGCCACGCAGCACACAATTTCTAAGACCTTGGATTCATTTTTGATGAAAATAGAGAAGTGAAGTAGCTGCAGAACGAAAAGGAGAAAACTTTTCAGAGGACCAGAAGGAAGCCGGAGTGGTTGGTGACATACTGGGAAGTGATGCACTAGATAGAGAAATCAGTGAGTCTTGAGGGACATTTTGCATTTTGAAATGGTATCTGGGTCTGACCCAGGACTTTGTGTTGCTGCCTTCGATCCCCTTCTGCTAAGCATACCTGTTCTTTAGTTACCCTTTTCTCTCTTTTACACTTCTTTCCCTGTCATACCTCCTCTACCCCAACTAGATGCACCCGAATGGTAGAAGGTAGAATAAGGAGGAGATGCTCTGCTTCTCTTATTGTGGTTATTCATGGATCTCTTGCTTTTCCCCTTTTGATTTGAGCATTTTGAATTGCCACCAAGCAACTGCAACTGTGCCTCTTTGGTTTGTGCCTCTTTGGCCTCCAAGGCCAATGATATAATAGCTATATCCTTCAAACCTGCCCAGACATACCTAGAGAAAACATTTTCAGGTATCTCTAGGTATGTGTGAGCTAGGAGGAAGGTTAGTTAGGAGCAGAGACCAAAAAGAGATATAATGAATGCAACTCTATGAATCCCAAGGGAAAAAGTCTCTAATTGCAGAAGGAGCAGTAACAGTTTTAAGCTGGAGAGCCTGGGTTGGTGCCCAAAGCATTTCTTTGTTTGCCAAAAGCTGCCTCAATGTGGTATTTCCATCAACACCTATTTGTTGAGAGCCTACTCTGTGCCAGACACTATTATACAGGCTGTAATTTTCTATTGGCTCTAAGCCATTCTGATACATAAAAATAAAGTGAACATAGTTTCTTCAAAAGGGATTAGCATTTTATAATCTAGTTCAGCCTCATGTGTTAGCACTTAGTCTGAATATTTGCCATTGTGAAAATACGCAATATCTATGTATTTTTCAGATATGAGCCAAAGTATTGAAAGCATTTCAATACTTTTAATTAACATTGTTCTTTAAAGTGTTCAATCTTTAACCAAAATATTTCTCAAGAAGTATTTCATGGATATACTTGTTATTTATTTTTGTTCTCTGAAAGAAATGCCTCCTGATGTTAAAAATCATTTTGCTGATATCTGTCTTATTCCTTTTTAGAGTCCTCTACAGTCTATCAATATAGAACTAGCTGCAGTTACCAGAAAGTGCTGTATTGTTTTGTGCTTCTGGATCTTTGAATATGCTAGACTGCCAGCTGGGAATGCACTTCCTTGCATGAGAAATGACTACACAATATTCTTTACCACAGTTCAAGAATCAACTCCTTTGATCAACTCTTTTACCCTAATTAGAATGTCCATTTCCCCACTTGGGGTCCAGTGTATTCTGTATAAATTCCTATTGTTGTAATTCTCACATAATATTCATAATTATTTGTCCAGTTTTCTTTTCCCATCTTATGATTTCCCATAAAATCATAAGATTTTATGAACTTATTGAGGGCAGAGATTATGTCTTATTTGTGCTTATATCCTCAGGGCACACACAAAAAAACTCAATATATGTTCAGTAAATTCATTGAATGAATAAATGAATCAATGAACAAATAAGCAAATGCCATATGCATGCATACATTCAACTCCTAGGAACACATTGTACTGGTACAGTAAGGAATGCAAATAAATATAAGACCCTTTCCTGAAGATATTTCTAAGATGTATCAGCCGTACATTATATGGGATGCATATAATGGTTCCTGGATAACATATTTTAAAGAAAGAAGGCTTTCTTTAAAAGGCAGTCTCAAAAAGGCAGTCTGTTATAAAAGTCGTTGTAAGTTGAAAAAAAAATGTTTTTTAAAAAGCAGAACTCTGTAGTTAAAGAAAATTCAGTAGCCTAAATTCTTTACTACTCCATGTGTGGGTATAGTGAAACATTAGCTGTCTGATATTACACTATTGTTGACTTCTCGGTTTTAGTGTTCAGAGAATGACCTGAACTTAGCTATGTTAAGTTACCTGCTCCACAGGAAACCACCTCTGTAACTGTTGCTTGTGCTTTCTCTTTAGGCAACACCCAAAGCCACTGTCAGATGTCATGGGAATGAGACCTCACAAGGTAAGTGCAAAGAAAACAGGAACAAATACATTTTCAAACAGAACTTGGTGAAAACATTGGCCCAAGAATGATAGGAAGCACCGCCTTTTGGGGATCCTTATTTGGGCCGTGGAAGGGACATATAGCCCTGTTTTATATGGAATCATATATGGTGTGAGGAATATGAGTCAGATCCTGGGTTCCCAAGTGGCCTATCTGAGACAGAAGCAGGCTGTGTTCTCTAGACAAAAGGAAATATTTTGTTTTTTGAGGGAATGTTATCAGAATTTTAAAAGCCAAATGATGGCTAGAGAATATAACTAAAATTTTATTGACGCTTTGTTGTTTAGAAAGCTTTTTCCCTCTTTGTTTCATTCTAAAAGTCTATCTTTTTGTCCAATATGCAAATTAAAACTTAATTAAATCTATGATTCCGAAGAGATATAGGCCTTATTACACAGCAGGCATTCTCTGGCTTTTTTTCACATCTGGACTTTTAAACTTTGGGGAATTAATGTCATGTCTAAGATTTCTTGTAGTCTTATTTTGCTAAATACAGGATACATAGCTATTTTAAATGAGTGTTTCATAATCATCCAAAAATGCTACAAATTTCAATGTGAAATAGCTTTTTCCTACGTTGTAAATATTGGATGATTAAGCATTCCTCATGCCTTTTGCATGAAAAGGCAACATAGACTTTATTAGATATCTGTGGTTCTTATTCTTTGAGTATTTGCCTCCCTATTGACCTTCAGCCTTTTGTGCTTCTTTAAAGCCGTTTCCATCCCCCTACTTCCTCCTTCACAGAATGTAAGATGTCAATGAAAGAAGATGAAACCAGAGGTTTTAAAAAAAGATTGGACAATAATGACTAAAACAAGCTCCTTTAGCTTTTATTTTTAACCATTTTATGTGTTTTTATTGATATAAATTGCTTTATTATGATTATAGTTGGAAGTCAACATTTTGGCATATTAAAAAGACCATTTCCTTCCAACCTAGAAAATTCTATCTCATGTTGTTACATGTTAGGCCTCTTAGCAACTTATTTTGTCCTATAGCTTTGTGTTGACACTGCCAATTTGGAGTCCCCAGTTCTAGTCCTGTCAACTATTTCTCCATAGGAAACTGAACCAGAGGTTATACCACAATTTTCTTTTATTTTTCTCAGCCGGAGGATTTTTTTTCACTGTGAAACTGTCTGGTTTCCCACTGGTGGGTCTAATATACAGAGCTCTCTGGTTTGACATATGTGATAAACTAACAAGAATATTTGCATTTGTATAGCTTTTATATACAGATATTTCACTCTCCTAATACTATTTCGAGTTATAGATACATGTTTTTTAAAAGCAAACTCAAATGGCTGACAAACAGCTGCTGCATAGACTTTGGTGCCTGACTGCCTATGTTTATAGATTGCTTATAGAAGTGTGAGTTCTGATAGCCTTTTTGGAGATGAATCTAGTAATATCTATGGCTATTTATTGTGGCATTTGCTGAAGTTCCTTCTACAGCCTATCAGGCACAGCATCACTTGGACCTTAGGCAAGATATATGTCTGACCGCTTTTCCTGCCCTTCTGTCACTCTGCATTTACTGCAGTGACATTCACAAGTGTTCACAGTCTCGCTGAGTATCTCTCCCTCAGAACTCAGGTGCTTTGCTGTTCCTTCTGACTGGATTGCTCCTCTCTTAACAGGCCTCGTGGCTTACTCCCTCAAGTCATTCAGGTTTCTGATCAAATACCTCCTCAGAGAGCTCTTCCCTGGCCACCCCCTTCAAAGTAGTAAGTAATTTCATGTAACTTTGTATCCCCTTATTTAGTTTCATAAAAATATAACATTATGTTACATATTAAATTAGTGCCTGTCCCCTCCACTAGAATGGATTCTTTATGAAAGTGGGAACTTTGTTTTGTTCATTACTCTATTCCTAGAGTTGAACAGGCACATAGAGGGTATTAAGTAAAGGCTTGTTGCACGAATAATTTGTGGTAGCAAATGAATGAAAAAATAAACAAATATAATATACTTGGTAAGAGAATCGTTAGATAAATTGTGGCATATCAATAACATGATCAAGTCATTGAGAAGAATAGAATTAGATCTATGTCATCCAGGGAGTTTCAAAGTTTATTATTAAGGAAGAAGTGGAGATGCAGAAAAGTTTGTATAATAGGACCCTGAGCAATGATCTACATATATACGTATCTATCCATCTATTTGATCCATCTATCATCGCATAAGAATGATGGATATCGTAGGATATTCACCAGGTTGTAAGCGTTAGCTTTGTAGGGAAATTGTGCAGTGTGATTTTGTTGAACAGGGTATGGAAACAGAGACTAGAGGGCTCAAAGTTGGCTGAAATATGTAAAATGAATGCCAGTTTGAGATACATCTTCACTTGCTTCTGCTAGATACACTTCAGAGCAACTTCAGTCATATCTTCCCTCCCTTGCCGCCCACACTGTGACTTAGTGTCAAACTCTGACCCATTGTTGCTGCCTTGGCCTTCCTTAATTACTCTCCTTTGGAATTCCGTGTTGGTGCTCAACGCTTCCATGCTGAAATGCAGGTTCCACGCAGTCAACTTGTCTTGTCTTTGACTACTATTTAGAACCTCTTTGCATTCCTTGAAAAAAGGCATTTGTCTCTTACTGATGTGTTTTGCCCGTGTTGCCTATGCAATGAGTCCTTGATGTTGTTACGACTGTTGCTGATCACTTTTGGTGGGTTTTGAGGAAAAACTATGAAATCGATTCTAGACAATTTAGACTTTTGTGGTTCACTGGGGCCCATAAAACTCCTGAGCCAGGGAAGTGTGACTAGGAGAATAACGATATTTATTCAATGATAATGTGCTCCACATACATAAAGAGAACTCTGCACAGCCCCCGATGGAAAGTTATGGAAACATTCTCAAGTTAGAAACAGTAAATGTTTTGCAAATAAAGTGGCACTGTCTTAGAAATGCCAGAAGGCAGAGGCAAAATATTCGATTTGATAATTAAGAATATAATTAATGATGAGAAACCCTATATTTTAGAGTAAGACTATATCCCCTTTATCATGGCATTCAGTCATTTGAAATTTTATATTCATTAATTTGGTTGTATTTTCCACCAACTCTAAGGAGGAGCTGGAGGGGTGTGTACTTTTTTCGTTAACATTGGATTGCAATATTCAGGCACCTATCTATTCTCACTTTAAATAAAATAATTTAGGAATGTTAGTTCTAAACTCAAGCTGAGGCAAAATAAAGATTTTGTAGTGATTTTCATTGGAGAAGATACAAAGGTTTTGCCAATATACAAGTGTGTTACTTATATCCTTAGAGGGTTTCCAGCTTATTACTGTTTTAAAGATGAACATCAATGCCATTACTTGTGAAGAACATTAAAGATTATTCTAGTACAATAAAAAACTGTATCAATTCACATCATAAGCCATTTTGGATATTAGAAAATTAGTTTAAAAAGTAATTGTTCTGAGTGAGGAAAAAAATATGTTGAAGCCCTGCTGTTGGGCAAAATAATCTGAAGAGTCTATTTTTCTGAGCTTTTCTTTGAGCAGTTTCTTCCATCAACACATTTTTAAAACCAAATTCTTTTCTTTTCTCAAACAATATATATAATGTGCAGAGAAGTCGGGAGTGATAGACTAATGTGATGTAACAATTTTAACTTTCTCACATGCATTCTTAAAAATCATGAAACAGCAACAAATTGTAGCAGTTTGTAATTGTTTGCTTTTGTGTTAAATGCTGGGCTGTGACAATCACTTGTTTAGGACAGAAGTCTTTTTGATTATGTGAACCTGAACCCACAGAACTCAAAGGAAACATGTAAATAAATAAAGAAGTGCAAATACCTTTTTTGCATAAAGAGCAGTCCATCAGACTCATGATGAGCTTTCTCCTTTTGTTGCTTTAACTCTTTCACAAAATGTTTTTTGTTTGTATATGTTTTGCAGTGTCCTTTTCAAAATTAATGACCTGGACTTTTTGAATCATAAAACAATTCTGAAAGCCCACATTATTAGAACCATGGGGGAAGTTTGCATCTGTTGATTAGCTGAGAAGCTTGCTTTCACTATTAATATGCAACAGTACTTTCAGTTATGTTCTGGTAAAAGTAAGTATAGATATTAGACATCAACTCAAAAACTTTTGACAAGACAGGTTTCTACAGAGAGGAATCTCCAGTACTACAGGGTTTTGCTTCGTAGCAAAGTTTAACATCTTTACCCCTTTTAAACTCTTGAAACCTAAAACTCAACTAGATAATGTACTTCAATCTTATTAGTTATAAAAAATGTACTAACTACAATGGCCTTTCATCGTGGACATCTAAGGTTACCCCACAAGAAACTTCAGAGTAATTGAAATGAAGATCTTAGCAGGCTCTTCTCTGTATTTTAAATGTGTCTGCCAAGCAGTATGCTCAGGAGCTTGTTAATGGACAGTTGTTTCAGATAATGTTCTTTATAAATATCATTGACCTACCTACTCTATACTTGTAGTCTCTCCACTAAGATTTATAATTTTCTGTTCTCATGTTAAAACTGAATGCATATGATTTATTTCTAGTAAGCTCCATCAAATAATACAAAACACAATGTCTTTATTTCTTAAATGTATATATGTACTGACTGAGAGTGGCAGGAGGCAGCCAAATGCCTAGGCAGATAGGGCTGTGTTTTTGGTTAAACCACACCTCCAAGTCAAAGACAGTTTAAAGCCTGATAGCCAAGCTACAGATTAAATCCTCAGACTGGGTTGAGAACTTCTCTTCCTGTTTGGCGCATTCTTCTGATTCATCCCCACCCATCACCTGTTTTGCATATACCTACCCTTTCCTAATTGGTTTTCTACATTGTCCTGCCCACCTTTGAGTGGTATCTTCACTTTAACCTTTTTTGCATACTCACAAACCAATTAGTATGCATTCCCCATTCCCAACCCATCAAAGGCCTTGGACCAAGTCACACGGGGAAATTTCCTGCCTTTGGGTAGGGGTACCACTCCCACATCCCCTCTCCACTGAAAGCTGTTTCATTGCTCAATCAAATTCTTCTCTGTCCTCCTCACCCTTCAGTGTCCAGCGTATCCTCATTCTTCTTGGGTGCAGGACAAGAGCTGGGGAACCACGGAATGTGGGTATAAGCTATAACACAAGTGAGCTGGGACACACCAGCGTGGCCTAGTGGGGCCCGGGTGGGGTGTCGTCAGCCAGAGGTCGCTGGCTTGCAAAGTGACTGGGAAGAAAAATCCTACATCATACTGTTTTCTGTTACTATATAAATAAGAAATGCTGAGAGAGGAATAGTAATAAAAATAATTTTTATTTAGAGAGCTTGAAAAATGTTTTCATAGGATTCAGATATAAAAATGATCACAAAACTCAAGGAAAACAGGCATGCTATGGAAAACATAATGAACAGTATACTAATGTTTTCATACATGAATATGGAAATCTTTAAAATAAGCATATTTTAAATTTTATAATTTAAAATTTATTATGCGTAGCAAAATTTCTAATATTTCATTTTATGATACACATAGTAATTATCTTATATAAGAATTAACTTGAATAAATATTTTTAAATTTATATATTATCTATTAAACCCATTCTCTTTTGTATTCTTTCTCTCTGTCCTTATCTCTCTTTCTCCATAAGCACACACATATTTTTTTTAAATCAAATGCAAGAATGTAATATATTGATAGAAATGTAAAAATTGAGGTTTATATGAAATTTCAGATGATGACAGATATAAGCACTAAAATTTTATTTAGAAAATGCAAAGAAAATATTTCTAAGAAATAAAAGCTGATTACTTGGTACAGGCTAATTTTAATGACTACATATAATAACTCATAGATGCAAATTTTACATGCTTTATTGCTCATAAACTGTGATTTAGATGAAAAATTTGTTCAGTGAGTACATTAAAAATTAAGATAAATTTGTTATTGTTGCTTTGTGAAAATAAGACATATTCTTCCATTAGCAGCATCTACAGGAATAAAGCTTTTTCAAAATCTCTGGGTTCCTTAACCACTAAGATGGACCTCACTATAGGAACATCTTGGACCTTGTCCAGTAAATTTCATAAATCAGTGTCAGCACTTTAAGTCGGTTTCATCTACAACAGTGAAGCATCACAAATACTACAAACAGAGCTTCTCTAAGTTTCAGCATAGTGCAGTATGCTTTGGTTGCAAATTTTACCTTAATTTACTTTTGTTTACTTTCAGCTAAAGAGCATGTTCAATATAAGATTAATGTAAAATGAGTCCCGGCTCCAGGCAAAGTGAGTTCATACCCTTTCCTTTATTTTATTCTCTAATACCTTTACTCACAGCTTTTATATAGTAGCCACTGTCTGACAACTACAAGTTTATATATTTGTTTGTTTTCCTGAAAACTACCGCTCAAGTAAATTTGTCAAAAATTAGAAGTAACCGTCTGATTGTCATTTTGTTTAGTAAGTTTTATGTTTTGCTAACAGACTTGTTTATCATTGAATAGATATGACTTCTAAGCTGTTAAGAATTCCATATTATGTTGACCTGTGTCTTCCAAGTCCAGTTGGAGTTAGCGAAGAAACTGAGGTAGGCAAAGCTGCTTTGGCTCCAAGAGGAAAAATAGTTTTTATTTCATGAAAATGCAAATAATTAAGGAGGTGGGAGCTAAAAATATGTATAGAGCTAAGACTGTCCAGGAAGAAGTTAGAGAAGAAAAGGAGTAGAAAATAAAACCATGCAAATTCACAATTTAAACAGAGAAGAAAAACTCAGAAACCGAAAAGAGATAATCTGGAAAGTAAAAGGAAGTAACATCTCAGATGACAAAAAAGGGGGGAATTGTGAAAAGAATGGAGCCATCCGCATTATCCATTGTTGCAGAAAGCTCAAGTAGCTGGAAAACAGAACAGGGTTTAGGGATGCTAGCCACTGACAATTCATGGTGGCCTTTTAGAAAGCAGTCTTAGAAGACTGACGTGGCTGCAAGGATGGGATGTGGAGCCAGTGAGTATAAAGTGACTCGAAAGTGTTGAGTGAGAAGCTGAAAGAGACAGAGTACATAGTCCGAGCAGGAAGGAAGATTGAGGCAAGAGATGCATTTGATTTTCCAGTTTTTGAAAAGAGAATTCCATTTCTGATATAAATACATGGATTTAATCTGAAATGTTTCTGTATTATTTAGAAGGTTTCAGGGCTGTAGCTTTAAGATGACATAGTAGAAATAAACAGACAAAATTAACTTAGCCACTTGAAAGAATTTACACTAAGCTTAAATACAAAATTGTAGTCACTTTTAAACTCTCACAAGGTTAATTTAGGATGTACTGGCACGTGTTTCATAAATAATAATTAAAATGACAAATTTCCACATCTTTATTTCTGTGAATATTTAATATTTTATGTTCTATTGATGACATATGCCATCTATAATGCTGTTATTTTAATGTTAAGTTAGAACTCATTGTATCTTCAGAATATGCTAGCATATTTCATAGAAATCCAAGAAATATTTTCATTATTATAGAGAATTTTGAATGGAACTTTTATAAATACTAACATGGGGGGGGAAGGACAACTCCTATAAATTTGCATCAATAATAATTGTAAATATCCTGAACTTATGAAGAGAAACAAGTATGAAAAATCATGAAAATAGTGAAGTTACAAACTATTGTGAATGGATCTGTAGTCCTACTGGTTCAGCCTGTAGTGAACAAAATTATTAGATGTTTCACTTGATATTGTATTTAAACCACCTAAAAAAAAAAAAAACTGAACAGTTTACCATGACCTGCTTCATCCTAAACTTCTACATTTTGGTGTTCTCTTAAGGCAGTATCCTAGGTCACCTCTCTTTTCTGACTAATCTGTCCCAGGTGATTTCATTCATTCCCAAGGTTTGAAGTATCATCTATACATTGATTACTACCAAATTTATATTTCTAGCAAACCCCTCTTCTCTAAACGCATATATCAACTTCTTCCTCCTTCCTCTCCACCTCCTCCTCCTGTTCTGCTTCCTCCTGATTCTCTGCCTTCTTTTCCTTGTAACAGCTTAATTGAAGAATAATTGACATATAATAAACTGCACATATTTAAAGTGTACAACTTGGTAAGTTTTTACATATGTATTCACCCATAAAACCATCACTACAAACAAAAGAGTGAACATAATGATCACCCCACAAGTTTCCTCATGCCTTTTGTAATTCCTCCCATTCCCCTGCCCCATCATGAGTCCCTAGGCATCCAAAAATCTGCTTTCTGTATACACTGGTTTACATATTCTAGAATTTTATAAAAATGGAATAATTTGATAAATGAATGAAATGTTTTCATACTATTTTGAAGGTTTCAAGGCTATCTATAGCTTTAATATTACAAACTGCAAAATACAAAGATACAATATTAAACAGCCATTTGAAATAGTATTTTAATCATTCTGTTTATGGCTTTTTTTCTTCAACCCATGTTTTCATAGTATTTTGAAGATTTCAAGGCTATCTGCAGCTTTAATATTAAAAACTGCAAAATACAAAGATACAATATTAAACAGCCATTTGAAATAGTATTTTAATCATTCTGTTTATGGCTTTTTTTCTTCAACCCAATTATTCTGAGATTCATCCATGTTGTCGCATGTGTTATTGAATGTAGTTCACTCGTTTTCGCTGCTGAGTAGTAATATCTTATTGCATGACTATACCACAATTTGTTTACTCATTCATCTGTTGGTGGGCATTTGAGTTGTTTCCAGTTTGGGGCTATTACAAATAAAGCTGCTATGAACATCTGCATATGAGCCTTTGTATGGACATAGGTTTTGATTTCTCTGGGGTAAATACCTAAAACTGGAGTGGCTGGATCATATGGTAGGTATATGTTTACATTTTTAGGAAGCTGCCAAATTGTTTTTTAACATAGTTGTAGTATTTTTTCATTCTCACTACCAGTGTATGAAACCTCTAGCTGTTCTCCATCCTTGCGACACTTGCTATGGTCAGTACTGTAATTTTAATTCTAATAAGTGTGTACTGTTAGTGTCCTGGTTTTAATTTATATATCCCTAGTAACAAATGATGTTGAGTATCTTATCTGTGCTTATTTGCTATCTGTATTCATTTTTGGAGAAGTATTTGTTCAAATCATCTCCCTGTTTTTAAATTGGGTTGGTTGTTTCTTAATATTGAGTTTTGAGAATATGTAATATAGTTTTTTGGGGGAGATACATGTTCTCTGGCAGATATATACTTTGTAAATATTTTCTTCCAGTCTGTGGCCTGTTCATTTATTCTCTTAACAGTGTCTTTAAAAGAGCAGGCATATTCAATTTTGCTGAAGTATAATTTACCAGTTTTCTGTTTGCTGTATCATGCTTTTGGCATAATATCTAAAAATTGTTTGTCTAAACTAGGGTCAAAAAGATTTTCTCTATATTTCCTTACAGAAGTTTTATAGTTTTATGCTCTGCATTTAGGTCTACAATCCATTTTCAATTAATTTAGGTATATGGTATGAGGTATAGATCAGTTTATTTTCCCACATATGGATATATAATTGTTCCAAAACCATTTTTTGAAAGACTATTCTTTCTCAGTTGAATTGCCTTTTGACCTTTGCCAAAACAGCAGTTGTCTATGTATATGTAGGTCTGTTTCTGTACTCTCTGTTCTATTCCATTGATCTATTTGGGTATTTTGATGTCAAAACTATGCTGCCTTGATTACTATAGATTATATCCATCTTAAAATTAGGTACTATTAGTGTTCCAACTATTTTCTTTTTTAAAAAGTTTTTGTTTTGTTTTGTTTTGTTTTTTTTGAGACTGAGTCTCGCTCTGCAGCCCAGGCTGGAATGCAGTGGTGCCATCTCGGCTCACTGCAAGCTCCACCTCCCGGGTTCATGCCATTCTCCTACCTCAGCCTCTCGAGTAGCTGGAACTACAGGCACCCACCACTATGCCTGGCTAATTTTTTTGTATTTTTAGTAGAGATGAGGTTTCACCGTGTTAGTCAGGATGGTCTTGATCTCCTGACCTCGTGATCTGCCCGCTCTGGCCTCCCACGCCTGGGATTACAAGCATGAGCCACCGCGCCTAAAAAGTTGCCTTGAAAGTTGTTTTGACTAGTCTATGTCTTTGCATTTTTAGATGAATTTCATACCTCAGAGAAACTCTATTTTTCAATTATCTTTATTTCAGTTTTTCATTTTGATAGTTTCTAATGCCATATCTTCAGGTCCACTAAATCTTTTTTTCTGCGATCACTAATCTGCTATTCATACAATTCATTATATTTTTTATCCTGGACTTTCTAGTGTTTATTTCTAGAAGTTTTATTTTTTAATATCTTCTTCTATGTCTCTACTTGAATTTTTTAAAATATGGAAAATACCCTTGTCTGCTAATTGTAACACTTGTCTCATTTCTGGATTGGTTTCAGTTGATTCATTTTGATTCTTTCTTTTTTTAAAATGTAATACTTAAAATAGGTCATATTTTCCTACTTCTTTCCATGCCTGTTTTTTTTTTTTTTTTTGACAAGGTCTTACTCTGTCACCCAGGCTGGAGTGCATCATGGTGCGCTGCAGCCTTAACTCCCTGGGCTCAAGTTATCCTCCCACCACAGCCTCCACAGTAGCTGGGACTACAGGCATGTGTCACCAGTCTTAGCTAATTTTTTTTAATTTTTTTTTTTTTTTAGAGCAGGGTCTCACTTTGTTTCCCAAGCTCTGGTAACATTTGACTGGCTGCTAGGCACTGTGAATTTTACCTTGTTGGGTGCCAGTATTTTTGTATTCCTATATATGTTACTGAGCTTTGTTCTAGGGTAGAGTTCAGTTACTTAGAAATAACTTGGTCTCTTCGTATATTACCTTAAAGATTTATCCTCAGTGAAATACTAGCAAATTGAATTGAACAACACATTAAATAGATCATTCACCATGATCAAGTGGTATTCATCCCAAAGATGCAAGGATGGTTCAATACATGCAAAATAATAAACATGAGATATCACATCAACAGAATCAAGGACAAAAACTATCTGATCATTTTAATAAATGCTGAAAAAGCATTCATTCAATAAAATTTAACATCCTTTCCTGATAAAAACTTTCAACAAATTGGGTGTGGAAGACCATACCTCAAAATGATAAAGACATATTTGATGAACCCACAGTTAATATCATACTGAACAGATAAAAATTAAAAGTTGTTCTACCAACATTTGGAACAAGACAAGGATTACTACTTTTACCTCTTTTATTCAACATAGTTCTGGAAGTCCTAGACAGAGCAATTAGGCAACATAAAGAAATAAATGGTATCCAAATAGGAAAGGAGGAAGTCAAACTGTCCCTGTTTGCAGATAACATGATCTTATATGTTAAAAAACCTAAAGATTCCACCAAAAACCTCTTAGAACTGAGAAATAAATTCATGAAAATTGCAGGACATAAAATCAACACACAAAAATCAGTAACATTTCTATATACTAACAGCAATCAATTTGAAAAAGTTATCAAGAAAGCAATTCCATTTACAATAACTATGAAAAACCCCTAAGAATAAATTTAACCAAGGAAGTGAAAGATCTCTACAAGAAAAATTGTAAAACACTGATGAAAAAAATTCAAGAGGACACACCTGTATAGAAAACAAAAAGATAGCCATGATCAAGGATTAGAGGAATTAATGTTGTTAAAAAGTCCATACTACCCAAAATTATCTACAGATTTAATTTGACTCCTATTAAAATAACAATGACATTCTTCACAGAAATAGCAAAACAATCCTAAAATTTTTATAGAATCACAAAAATTCCTGAAATAGTTAAAGCAATCATGATAAAAAACAACAAAGCTGAAGGCATCACACTTTCTGACTTCAAATTATATTACAAAGTTCTAGTAATGAAAACAACATATGTATATACATATATGTGTGTGTCAAGATTCTGTGAGTTGCCAAATATTTCGTACTTAATATTAGCCAGCTAATGATGAGTCTAGCTCTCCTAGAATATTTAGAAATCATAAAAGTACAGCTATTAAATTAACATCAGCCTTTGGGTCCATTTTTTGTTTGCTTACTGCTGCATGGTTACCTGTCTGTTGGAATGTGGGTTCAGGGATTAACCTCTCCACAATCATTTAAAAATGTGGCACACTTTAATATTTGGAATTCCACATAGAAACTGGTTTGTCAAAGTTTATGATCTAAGTTGTTGGCCCTTTCCTTCTTTCAGTGGAGACCAGACTGCACTGACAAGATCAAAGGTAACACAGGCTTATTTCTTCTTCACACTGATGTAACTTGTTGCCCCTGGGAGATTTCAACCAACTATAGCTAGGCATACTCACATTAGTGACAAGTTGAGCAGTATGGTAGCCATGCAATACAAAGGTATGGCTTCTACTCTGTTAGTTGAAAACAGACTTCAAAGCTGGAAATGAATAGATGTATCTGTATTTTGCCATATTTACTTAATTTACTATAAAAAGGAAGTGGTATGATTTGATGTGACTTAAGATTGTATATGCTTCCTAAATTTGCCATCTTTGTAGATTAAAGGAGAACACTGAGATTATGGGTGTTAACAGCCCATCAGAAACTCATGGGATATATTCTGCCTATAAAGAAAATCCTCTTTCTCTCCTTGACTCTTTCCTCTCTTCCTTCCCAGTGAGGTAGGGGTCCATAAGGGATGATGGGAATATAGTGGCTCAGTCTGATGCATGATATTATGAGATGAGAGCCCACACGAGTTTAGGAGGTTGGCTGTGTCGAGGAAAAGATGACGATAGACAGCCTGGAACGCAATTGCAGACTGTGAAAGATTTAAGAAGATATTCATTTTGAGGGCAGAAGTAGCCAGGCATAGTGCTGAAAGATTTTACATGTAAGGGACATCGGATTAGTACATATACTGAAGATATTGAGAGCCAGGTTTTTTACTATCCATATGATATCCATATGGAAAGGGAGGACATTAGAAAGAACTTCATGGTGTTGGATTAGAATTGGAAGTATAAATGTAAAGTCAAGGTTTTCAATATATACTGACATGTGCAAAAATACAAATAGGTATAAATATATGTATGCATATATAGAGAGACTAGCTCCATTCACTGGGAGAACCTGGAAACATTGATATCCCAGTTGCAATAAATACATCTATCACCCAGATGTTTGTTTATAAATGCCATCCTCCATACAAGAAAACAGAGATACTTGGAGAAATAGCTAATCCCAGAGTTTGGGAAGAGAATGTACACCTTGAGCCTTCTTGTGCCAGAATGTAAGAAAGTACTCAATGAATAAATGGGACATACTCAAATACACAGAAGCCAGCATGAAAGAGTTCCTACTGGCCAAGCCAGGACAATAGGCATATCAAAATAAGAAATGGTAATAAATTCAACTGACTTCATGAAAACCTTTTTTTTTTAATCATTGTGAGAATACAAACATTTTGTTTATAACTTTATCCCATTCAATCTAGTGTTTATTTCACTTTTCTGATATTTTCAAGTGGTTAAGCTGTTGAAAAGCCATAGAAGTTTCCACATGAAGTATATTCCCTGATGAAATGATAATATTTCCTTAAACTTTAATAATTGTGGGAAACAGTGCCACTGATTCCCCTGCCCTTAATTATCTAGTCAAAGAGATTAATGTCTCTGTCCCTTGACAATGCAAAAAGTAAATCTGAGTGGAAGGGAGGACAATGGCATTTTAGGCATGAACCTTATTTATTCATTGTCGTTCCCTCTCTCTCGTTCTTTCCAAGCACAGATAATCTCTCTCTTTTTAAAAAAATTCTGGCATATGTTAGTTTCATATATAATACACAAGTGAATCATATAACTTACTAAAAATTTTAAAGATAAGATTATAATTTTAAACATTTTAAAACAATTTACAATTTGGTTTTATTTATGTCATTATATATAGAATATATATAATATACACTATATCTTATGTGCAAATATATATGAATCTCCTTATGCTATAAGAGGGAAATAAGCATAAAAATGAAAAACAATAAAATCACCTAATACAGAAGGAGCAGGACTGAGGTAAAAATGAATAAATAAAAATTTTACAAAAAGAAAATCATTTAAATCATGAGTTTAAAAGAGAGAGAATTTAGGAGAAAATAGAAAAAGTCAAAGGAGAGTAGACTTGAGGACAATTTCAGGTAAGAAGTGTGAAGAGGAACAGCAAGAGTAAGGAGACAGAAAAGTGAATGCAGATGGTCAGGAATGGAGGGAGGAAAAACAGATATGAAGTAGGGCTATCCAGGGAAGAGAAAATCTCAAGAGCTGCAGTTGGTGGACAGTGTATATTGCCACATGAGTCATTGCATTTGGAAATTAGGTGATGGTTGGTGGCCATGGAGAATGGAAATTCAGTTGAATATATGTATAGAAGCCAAATTCTGGGAGGTGAGGCCAACGTGGGAAAAGCAAAGATTAAAACTAGCCCACGTCCTCCTCAAGTTTTAAGCAGCAGTTCCAATTCCACTTCCTACAGGAAGTCTGGGCTGAGTCTTCTGCTGGCAGATGCTTCCTTAGCACCCTGTACTCTTCCTACCATGTCACTGATTAGACCTTTATGTATTATTTGATTCTGGTTTTCCTGCAGGTATAGGACAAAGACCACATCTTTACTCATAAAGCATCTAGCACAGTGTTTGGCATATAGCAGCTGCTCAATACATAAATTTTAGCGTTAAATCATTAGAATAATAATTTGAGAGAGC